AAAAGCTATTTTCCTGCAATTGCTAATGCTTGATGTCTACGTACATTTATACATCCATTTTTCTTCCAAGGTAGCTGGTGTCAAGAAGCAGCTGATGCAGAGACGTGCAACCTCGGAGCAAAGATGTCTGTTTTTGATGAGTTTCAGAACAAAGAGAGATTAACTGTTAAGGATTGGAGTTATTTGCATAGAATCTATTGCATTTCCAGGCAGTAAAGGTTAAAAAGAGGACTGACGAGGTTTAGGAACTATCTGTAGTTCAGTGAAGCTTTAAATCAAGTTAACACTCTCACCACCCTTGGGGGATTTGCATAATTTCCATAATGTGCAGCATGTTTTTTGCCTCCTGATAGAAGCCATCAGTTATGTAAGCAAATTGGTTGCATAATTATGCAGATGGGAAAATAAATTTAATTGATTCAACAGAAAAGTGTGCTGTTCATTTCACCTGGGATTTCTTTTAACTCAGTGAGGAATAAAATAAATTGGGAGAGGGTAATCAGCAGGTGACACTTGCCAGATACCAACTCCATTGCGCAGGGTACCTGTTTTCAAACAGCAGGAGCAACCCACCCCCTGAGCACAGGAATGAATTCCTGCTTTTTAGCTAAAGGTCTCAACACTTAACTGCTTATGAATATCACCACTATATTCCATGTATAGTATTGTGGCTTTATCTGGTCTTGTCATTCCCCATCAGTTCCCAGGATACATCCCACTGGCTCCACACAAGCTGCACTGACATGTCCAAATGGAAATCTTGTTTTATACCAGATAAAATTAACACCAGAAGAAATCTGTGTCTTGACTACCTCTTGCCCCCTAACAGAAGGAAAATTCTAAGCATCACAATGAAGTTGCTGCAAGTGGCAACTGAGCCATTTTCTCCTTGTTCCTTTGTTTCTGTTCTGGTCCTCAGTCTGCAGATGGTCAAAAAGTATCAACAGTTTCTCCAGTGCCATCACAGTCAATGGCAGAGTAGCTTGGAGGCCAACAATGTCAGCATTAATTTTTTCTACAACTCATCATACTAGTCATTTTAGAAAAGAGTTATGCAGAAGGGATTAAGACTGAAAAATGTAGACCTGGGATTTGCCAAAAAAACCCCGCAAAGATGCAAGATGCATCTGGAGAATGTGAAAGGACAAAAATGTGAACTAGTATGTGCTGTATTTTACTAAACTGAGGAGCATGGCATTAAGATTTTGCTAATGAAAAGTTTGATTGCTACACCAGGGATATTAAATTTTACTATTTCTCCTTATGTGAAACTCTCACTAATTCCATTAGAATTCTTCAGCAAATTGAGCACAGCCTATTCACCTCGCTGTAGCCTCCACTTGAGTCTGCAGTGAAAACTGGAAGCTGTCCGTGTCCACAGCTGGGAGTTTCAGCCCAATTTATTCATGAGCATTTGCCACATTATGTGCTATGGCGTGGTGAAAAACTGCATAGTCTGACTGATTTCACACATTCTTAACCTCCTCATGCAGCATATCATACTCTAGATTCTTGTAGTAGTTACGAGATATTAAACTCTCCACATCTACTTTGCCACTTGCCTATCCTCCTGCATACCTAAGAATATTAATTATAGGGATCTGAATGGAATTAAATAACTTAATGACAATACTGACTCAGAGATATTTTAGATACGTCATATAAAGAATAAAAAACAATGTTTATTAACATCTTAACAACTCCCCCAAAATGATCCCCCCAATTGCTCTTTAGAAAACATCGTAAAACTATCAGGCTTCTACTTCCAGCTTCTCACCTGCACCCCAATGTGGGTTAAGAAACTCTCAAAACTATCAATGCTTTGAAAAAAAATTGTGGTAAGTCTTCCAAACAACATTATTCTCTTTTAGTTACAAGAAACTGTCCATACCTAACAAAAGTAATCTTTCCAAAAGCATACTTTGTCATCAGTGAAAACTGAAGGAAGATTTTCACAAAGGGAATTTTCTCCTGCATCTAACAACATACTGAAGGAACACAGCGTTGTCTAGACCCAGCTACTGAGCACAGCACAGAAGAGCTTTTTTTGTACATTTTTCTGTCTCTGAGGGCAGGCAGGCAAGCATATATTTTATTTCCTATATGAAAAATTAAATATATCAAACAAGTTTCTTAATCTCAAACACAGAAGTTCTTTCAGCTACTAAGAAACAGTAACTTATACCCGGGGAAAAGCAAAAATATGGGTATTGTCTGCCAAGTGTCTGGCTCTGCAAAACTGCATTATCTCTGTTGTACTTTATTCTTTGGAATGTTTTTTTCAACTTTGCAGGTTTGTCTCCATTCCACATTGGAGTTTTGTCCTGTTTAGCACATAGAATTTCTGTCACCAAAACGGTGCTGCAAATGTTGCTGAAGAATCCTTTCTGATGTTTTGATATGCATCAAAATGACCAGATTTTTATGGTATTTCAAGTGCACCCAGTACAAAAGTACAGTACAAAAGACTGAAATACAAGACTTGACAGTAAAGCTGTTTAAATTGCCTACTGGTCTATCATGGTGATAGGGAGAAACACTATATTGATAGAAACAGCTGGATCCTGATACACAGTTATAACAAAACTTCTGAGCAATGATGTGGGGATCTTGCTTTGTTTGTTAATATAAAACATGACTGAGATTGCATGTTGTCAGCTGAAGATGATACTCAGGAGTTGGAGCCAAAACATTGCACAAATTTTACACAGTTCCAAGCTAGAAGGTCAATGATTAACCTCTGTCTGAAAAATAAAACATTTGGAATTTTTTTATGGGGATGATCTAAGTGAAAATTCAAGGTTGCTTATAATGGAAAAAATAATGCTGTCTCTGGAACATCCCAAGCTTTGAAGCCATACAGATTACTAAGAGAATTTTGTCCTTCTGTGTCTCTCAAACACAGTATTGGCCACATCTGGTACCGCTAACAGAAATGTGGGATTTAGCTGAGGTTCAGATAGCCTCTGTCTAATTCCAAGGCAGATTAAGCTACAAAGGATCTTAGAAAAAGTAATTAGCAAAAATGACTTAGCTTCTCACTGCCAGTTTTAGTTTGTTGAAACCTTCCAGAATTGCTCTTGCCACTAATGCTGGAGTGGCTGGAAGAACATCAGTTTAGATCCCTCATCTGAAACCCGATCACTTCTTATCCAGTCTTTCAGCTACTGGGAAACAAAAGCAGCAGAATGCTACTGGATTTGACCAGGTGGATAGCCTTATAAATGGCAGAGCCATCTTGGTGAATAACAAGTGGTGGAACCTGAATTCTGTTCGAACTAGTGCCAGCTGTTCTTCAAGAGAAATTTTGTGGTAAGGGGCTTTTAAAGAAATGCCATCTGATTGCTAGTACTGAATCTACCATTTTTTTAGAAGGAAAGCAGATGAGATCCCTAGAGAAGAATGACACCCTGTGAAAACACAAGTGCCTCTATCCGTGCATTTTTCTCTACAGATGGCACAGGAGGAAGGCAGTGATCTTGGTGGTCATCAGATTCAATCCTCTCTCTTCAGTAGCAATTCCCAGACAGACTGGATGAGCAGTGGTATCAAAAAGGGCCAGGACCTGACCCTGAAGAGGGTGAGGAATCTAACAACCATCAATCAGATTAATGACGTCAGATTAATGGCATGAACCTTAAGGCTAAAGTGGCAACCCATCCCAGACAAAAACTGCCGACATCCCTCCAAAACCCTTCACAACCATCCAGCGCCAAGATCAGGATGGCTTTCATGATTCAGAGGCACAAAGGACAACTACAATAATGCTGCTGGAACTAGGAAGAGACTCATGCTGCCCCAAAGGAGGAAAAGATTTTTCAAACATTGAGGGCTTACGCCACCATCTTGATCTCACTTATGATGGAACAGCCTTAAGAAACCCCATGAACTTCTATACCCAAGGGAACGTAAATTTTCAGCACAGAAAGCTCTAACGGGAATGGAGAGCAGGACCAGAAGAGCTGTATTACTGGCATATTTGTGAAGGGTGGTACTGGAGATGTAAACCAACACTAGAGAAGTGGGGAGCTCAGACAAGTATCAACCTTGACAGAGGTCCTACTGATTTGCCATGAGGGTCTTCTGATACGAAATGTTTGGTCCTTCTTACTCAGGCTGCAGATCAGTAGATGAAATGTGACTTAGGCAATTCATGCTCCAAATCTGATTCCGGGTTTGCAGGTGGAGAAAAGAGTAATTCCTGAAGAACTAGGAATGCTAGAACCAGCTTGCTAGAAGCCTCCATTGCATCATGCAGTTGGCAGAAACTAAGAAATGGGCAAAACCACTTTCCTCTAAGAGCACAATAACGGGAGAAAGCAAGTTTTCCTGTTCAGTGAAAGTATGCATATATACAATTGTGAAACCATATACAAACTATTATCAAGACACAACTAAACCTTCAGCTGTGAGCAACTTGTGTACGCTCTCTGTTCTGTGAAGGAAGGTATCCTAAGTCAGGCACGCCTCAAATAATTTTGAAGTTGTTTTATTCTCAGTGCTTTTTACTGGGTTTTTGGAGCAAGGAAATTAAGACCTAAGGGGTACACAGATGGGACAATATCCTTACAAGATACTGTGAGGAAGACAAAAGGAAACCTGTGTTACTTCTACAGACTATGAAGCAATGCGGAAAACATCTCACTCAAGAACAACAGATACACTCAATCAATGCAATTATATACTGTCACCTGCTGGGAGAAGAGTAACAGTTAGTGCTAGATTCTCCGTAAAAAAAGAGAATGTAGGTTCTGAGGCTGCAGCTTCCTCATCATCTAATGATGCCATTACAAAACATCTATGTAAGCCAGTGTGACAATCTATATAGTTACGAAAAAAATTACTCCTTCTGTGCTACTATATGCATTATCATCAATATAAGCATTTAAAAACACAACTTGAGTTTGAAGCCTTGCTGTAAATCAGTAAGGCACAGTCTGAACATAGTGGGAACTGTCTTTATTAATTTGTATTGTTTTCAACAATGATTGCTTTAACCATTAAAAACCAAAAGAGTCTTTACTAATTAATGACTGCTGAAACAGCCAGATCTTCCCAGCCCACTTCATATTTTCCTGAAGCCATTTTAGAGCAGATGTAAGCTCCAAGCTGTAAACTTCTTCCATATTAACATTCATTGTCATATGCTTAAGAAAAAGCTTTGGATCAGATACACGAGCAGCCAGGATCAGTCTCTCCACTGCTGCGTGATAGTCACTGTTATTCTGAGCCGTCTGATCTTCACATCTGCAAGCAAATTTTCACAAATACAAAATTATGTACCATACAGGCCCTGTGTCACTTGCCTGATGCTTTATACTGGCAACGAGATTACAAAACCACTAAAATAATGCTTTGTGTTCACTTCACTTACAGTAGATTACGTGAATTTCTAGACAAATTTTAGCTGATTATTCTGAAGAGTTAAAAAGTTACAAATTATCTTTTTAACGTATTTTACACTAATGAAAAGCAATAGGATTTAATGCCAGCACTAAGTAGGTCTGCAATAATCACAGCACGTTTAACGAAGAAATGCTTGACTCAGGGCTGGAAAATTCAGTAGGAATGTAAACCATTTTATAAACTGGATATAGCAAGAATTCATGTACGTGCTTGAATCCAAAAGGATTTCTCATTTTTAGCATGCAATCACTTTTGGAATAAGGATGTGCCTAAGTGACATGCCTATGTTTTTGCAAGAGCAGAACTTACTCTTTAAGCAAACAAGCAGAGGTACAATAGCATACACATGAAAACAAAATTAAAAGGTGTATTTGAAGGGTAGAGGGGAAGGAAGACAGAATACTCAAGTTTGAAATGCTCCTGTTCATCCTTCTGAACAAATGTAGCTTTTCTATGTAGTTTCACATTTTGAGGCTAAGCCAGTCAATCTTAGAGAAAATGGGGTCTTGAGAAATAAATTATAGGTGTAATCTAGTGACAGTGGTTGGTGGTTTATGGACAAAAGGAAAAGGCAACAAAACACATTTTTATCTGAAGGTACTAAGTCTCACTGAAAGGGGGGAAAAAAATCTAACAAATTTAATATTGAGATATCCCCTATAAAGAGAATCAAGTAAATGGCTTCATGGACTTTCCAAAAAACAGCCAAGAAATGGTAGAGTTGTTTTTTAAAAGGAATAACATGTTGACTTTGCCATTCTACTCCACTGCTTAACCAAAACACAAGAATCTAGACAAGATTCTAAACACAAGATATCAAGCTATCCTGTTTTTGAAAATACAGTACACTCTGTGCAGTAGACACATTCAGTTAGGGAACACACGCCAGTATCACTCTGGAACAATTACTTTTCTGCTACACAGATGTAAAAATAATAATAATTAAAAAAACCCAAGCACTTACTGTTCTATAGCCAGTTTAGAAGCAAGGATTAAAAACGAATTTAAAACCAAGCACTCTCCCAGCCAATGGAAAATAAGCTCTCATTAATTACATGATCACATGGATAAATACAATCAAAATGGTACATATCTGACAACAAACCTTTTTAGTATTATTTGAAGAGTCTGACTAGTAGCCATTGGACTTTGAATATCACTGGCATTTGAAACAAGAAATATTTCAATGGCCAACAGCATCTCAACCTCAGACAGGTAAGACGGAATCGTCAGAAGTTTGTGATATAAATTTCCCTGCAGTGGTGGGTAGCAACCCAATGATAAAGCACCTGAGAATAAATGCAGAAATGTAAGGAATTAGGATAACCAATACTGAACATAGATCTCTTTTCTTCAGTATGTGGCTAAGAATGTGGGGAAAAAAAACCCCAGACTCTTAATGGATTTTTACTACTTCACCTGGGAAATGGCCTGATTTGAGAACACAGCAAATAATATTCACTCATAATATTCACTGTTGTAAAATGTTACTTTTATCGATGAATATTATCAGTGATCATTAAAAAGCTCTGTCAGAAATCTGGGGATTCCAAGTGCGTAATAACACAAGTACAATTAGGACAGGTCAGACAGAAGCTTTATTAACTATGGTCACAGTGAGAGAACATTTGATCAGCATCTCCCCCTTTGCTCTCCTGTCTTCTGCCAAATGATCAGAAAGACCCAACCTATATAGCATTTCAGAAAAAAAAAAAGAAAAAAACCAGAGGTGAGGAAAACCAGTCATTTCAATGTTAACAAAGCCAAGTATCCATCCCAGGAGTGATGGACTCAGGTAGGTTGCTAAGCACCACATTTCAAAGATGGAATCAAACAGAAAATAATGTGACAATACAGAGAGATGGCTCTTGGTGGACCTTCTCAGTGTGGCACACCCAGTATTATATTAGCTCAGAAGTGGGGAGTTGAACACAATCACAGACTGTTAGCTTTTAGCTGAAAGGAATTTTCTTTTAGGATAAACTTCTTAGCCAAACCTCTCAAAGGTTAAATATTAGTAAGTTTACCACCACAATTCTAAACAGAAGCATAAAGAACTCTAATTTGCCTAGACAAAAAAGTGAAGATGATGCACTCTTTAACCATTTCAGGGTTCACATTTTTGAAATTCTGAAATTGAATGAAAAAAATCAATTTTATCAGAATTACATTTACTTCTTGCCAAGTAGTACACACTGATTCGTATTTTCAACTGTCACTATTTCCTAGTAGACATTTTGGTTACAAATAAATTTGTGATAGTGACACAGAAAAAGAACTGTTTTCTTCTTACAAAGTATACTCTTACCCATTTCTCCCCAACATACTGAGCTGTTAGAAGCATATGTTACCCAAGGAACGTAAGGGAAGGATATTGTTTAGGAAGCAACTTACTTTTATAATAGGTCCTAGCTTTAGACCACAAAGAACTTCTTCCCAAAGCTGTGATTAATCCTCTAAGTAGAAAAAAATCAATAGCTATGTTTTTTGAAAGCATGAAGTCTACTGCAGAAGATGAGACCCCAAGGTTCTTGCTCTCAAAACAGGCATTTATCAACTTGTTAAAAAGGCAGCTGTACTGAGAAACATCTATAGTATCTGAAATGAAATGAAGAATATTAACTACTGAATTAAGTCAAAGGTAAATCTAACCGAAGGATCGCTTCTCAGTCAGTACCTAAATCGGGACTCTTGCTTCTGTCAGCAAAATGGAACTAGATTGAGATGACTTATGATAATGCTTTATTCATCAAAAGTATTTTCATACAGTTAGTTCATTCACATTGTGAAAGAGAAGTCTTAAGGTCCAAGTAATAATTTGCTGCCAAAACCAACAGGATCAGAAAACAATATATTCACTTGCCCAAGCCTATAAATATAATCTTCACCTGATCTCTCAGACTTAAAATTTGCACCAATAAAAATCGCTTTGGTGCTTCAAGTTCTTCTACTCTTATTCTGAACTGTCCACTTCCTCTCAACTGTCCCCTTCTTGGCCAGACTGAGCAGCCTTGTACCTACTTCATGCCTCAAAGGACTAGATCCTTTTAAGATTCTCTGAGTAGATGGTCTTCCAACTAAGCTCTCCTAACATACCTAAAAGCACACACTGGCAACAGGACTGAGACCTACACACAGGAATCAGCTGAGGTTTCCTCAGTGGAGCCTAAGTAACTATGCATCTCACCTTGAAGTACACATCCAAAATTTGTCATATAAATTGAGCCCAGTTCTTAACATGGTACATAAAAGCAGCCTAGGTTAGCTAGCTCAGTTATAGAAAAAAACAATACATGAATCTATCTGAAGTTAAGATAAAATGAATCGCCTCAATGATATTGCTGTTTTATCTTATTGTATAGACTGTGCATGATCCTTAAAAATGTAGTCGGTCTTTCCTGTTGCCTTGTGTAACTGAGCCAATGGGAAAAAGAGTACAGGTGTATAGACTCTGTGTGTGCGCGTGTGCGGGAAGAGCTGCAGAGTACAATATGTATTTTAACTGACACTACACTCTTTGGGAAAAAAAAGAGCTTGTCTAAAACCATCTTATTTCTTCAACAAATTTTAGCTGGAAAACAAACAAAAAGAACAGTACAGAATCATCTGTCAAATTTTTAGCTCTTAACACAGTACCTTTTTCTTTACTTACCAGAATGATTTTGAAAACCTGGTAAGTTCTGCAGAACTTCAAATGCCTGCCTGTATAAACTCTTCCTCAAGTATTTGTGCACTAGTGTACATAACAGATTGTGTCGATTAAGGATGTCCATTTTATCACAGGGCCACAATGGTGCATTTATGGTCCACTCTGACTCTGTGGCAAACAACAATGCAGTGTTATTTCTATGAACTGAAACTGCTGGACGCTGAGACTTTTGAGCATTAAGAATATACTGTAAACTGTAGCAGAAAACAAATTTCAGAATTTCACAGAAAATACAGTTCTAGTTATTAATCATTTGTTCCTTATCACCAATACTTCTCAGATGAATTCTCTAAACCTTTATATTGTAAATAAACCCTTTTATTAAATATCATGGTAGTAAAATGGACTGTCAGTGTCACATATCAATATATGTGTGTGTATATATATTTATGATACACACATACATAAAATTGAACAGCAAATTTTAGATCCTCAGTATTACTTTATAGAATGCCTTCTATTCTTGTTTATACTTGAGTTTCTTCTCATTTCAGCAGATTAGAATTCCAAAAAGCCAGTAATTACGCGTTACGTAATTGCAGAAATATGGTACTATACTAAAGCTGTTTTACTACATGTGGATACTGTGAGGGGTAAAGAAATACTGCGTTGACCCAAGCCTGAAAATTTTTGACAGCAAGTGCCACCTGGCTCAAAGGAAATCTACATGGGTCAGGGTCACTTTCGAGGCTGCACCCCTCCCTTATTATGGTAGGCTTTTGAGTAGAATGATGTTGATGGCAGACTTCTGTGAAAACTTTTCTGAAAAAAAATTTGGTATTAGTCATAATATTTCTTATACATATCAAGAAAAATACTAACCAGTGAGATGGAACACATTTTATTTTTATTGTCCCAGTATTATTATTTACTAACATAGACCAGCTTCTAACTTTTACCTGAAATCTGTCATAGAAAGGGAGTGTTCAAATTTAAGTCAAAACTCAGTTTTTTATAAGACAAGCTTACCTCTCAATACCCATGTTGCTCCATCCAAACTTCCAGTTTTAAGAAAAATTTCTGCAGCTTTATTAACAATTTGACATCTTGATGCTAACCTCTCTGCACCTGTAAGTCCTTTCAAGACTGTAAAATGTATCTGTAGCTCATGCAATTTATCCAAAACCTTCCTTCCCTAGCATATAAGGGAGAAGAAAAAGGGGGAAGATCAGAGAAAGCAAACATAGAGTATCTTTACACAAAATACAGCAGATTTAATTCAGTGATACAGATTTATAGGCATCAGTTTATTTATCTAAACTGAGTCGAGGGGGAATAAAAAGTACAGTAAAATTTCTAATGAACAGTAAGGGTTTTTTTGACTGTGTAGGCAAAAAACTCCCACCAACCTATTGTTTTAATAGTTCCCAGCACACTATTCCCCATAACATTATTTCTACTACATAATGTTCCTATACAGTATTTTTAATATACTTTGTAATTAATTTTTAGTATATTAATATTTTTAGTATTTTATTTCCATTCAGCATTACACAATCTATAAAATTCTAAAAAGATCATACAGAGACTTTTCATTTTGCAGCAGAGGTATACTTGTTAAACTGAAATAATTACTCCAACATAAGTCAAAGAAAACACTGATAATTGTACACAGCAGGACAATAAGCTGGAAAAAGTTGGTCCTGTCTGGCCAACAGTGTAACAACCAACAACTTTATCATCATGTTCCAGGTTGATATTTAGACTGGTTTCCTACAGAAGCTTCCTCTTAACTTTCTGGTTGGCCTTTTTAGTCAAAGATGGAAGAAAGACAGCAGTCTCAAAGATAATTAAGATCTGACCAATCTAAAAAAGATCATGATCGAGATAAGGTGGGATATCAAGTTAATGTCCCCAGCAAGGCAAGGACAGGCAGAATTCAGGACTTGTCCTCTCTGCCTGCACCTCGCTGGTCAAGCAACATGAACTAAACTCCAAACTAGACATGTTCCAGCTCTTGCTTAGTGTGTGCATCAATGAGGAGGTGGCTTATTACGAATCTTGTGTGCATGCATTGTGGTGGTGGAACGAGGGTCATGGAGGTAGAGAGAAAGGGAACTTTAGGTGAACAGAGAGGTTGGCAGAAAATGAAACTTACTTCTTCCCAAACTTTTTTTGAAAATGCTTTATGCATATGCACATACATACTGTGGACTGGCATATGCTCAAAATAGGAGACTTTTGAAGGCCTACAGGTATCTGCAAGGGTTTATCTCAGCATAACCCATAAAAGAATACCAATTACATCATTGCAGTTAACATTTAAGGTGTAAAGAACCCATTCAACTGTAGATGTATGTGGTTGAAGGAAAAAAATACATACCAGAAAGACTCAGGTGAAACTCTTACAGAAAAATAGAAACTTGAAATCTAAGTGCAAACCAGAGACAAAATACAAAATTAAGGAGGATCTGCATCCATTCCATCCTTCTAGCAAAAGGAAGGGCCACTAAGAAGTGGGTCTTTATAGTAAGATGGAAAGCATGCAGCTATAAGCACAAATGATCTATAAAGGAAGGGCACCCAATTAAAATGCAGTTGTGGAATGAGATCCTTAATTGGACAAGAACCTCTGACCAATCCTCTGGAGTCATAAAATGTTGGGTAAAAATAAACCATAGCAAAATCCTTCAAGATAGGAAACAGTTGAAATAGGAAGTGGATGAAACAGTTGCCAAAGGAGCGTTAAATGTTGCAGGATTCTCTACCAGTAAACATCTGGAAAGTAGTCTAGTGTTGCTTGAAGAGCTGTCTCCATGGAAGACCTATTCACATGTTTCAAATCTGCATGTTTTTTTGAAGTACATCTGTTTTATGAACTTTCCTTAGCTCTTACAAAAGGAGCTCTTCAGGATGAAGGAGCATACGTTTTTTATACCTGAGAGCCACCCAGCATCAAAGTTATGTGATAAAGAGGTTTGATGTTCACGAAGGGAGAGTGATCCGAAAAGCACATCTAGAGCTTTAGGCAGTCCAGCGTATTCATAAAACAGCATAGGGCATGTCCTAAAACCAAAATTACTTTAGGCACAGCAGGAAAAATAAAACCATCACTATCTTATTTTCTGGACTACTTTTTGGAAGAAACAAGACATGCGATCAAGTGGATGCTAGCCCATAACCACAGGATTAGGGTCTTATCTGATACATATAATGGAGTGAAACTGGTTGGAGAGAGGTAGGAATGACAGTTCTAGTTCAACCCTGAAGCAGAGAACAATTTGAGATCTGCTAGTTCTGATAAAAATCATTCAGAGCACAGCCTCATTCACACTCCCATGTGGTCAATACAGGTTGTTTACAAGGCTGTTTAAGGATCTGGGTGAGCAGTCTGTTGAGAAGTGGGTCTGACACCTAACACAACATTCTTAAAGATGTGATGATCTTTTGCTCTAGACATGAGAAAAATCATAGTATCATAAAAACTGTCTGCTTTTAGAAACTCCTGTTATGTAAGAGAAACACTACACATGCTTTTGACACCTTGCACCTCTGAAATTAGGACATGAAGATTAACCTCCTTGGAGTATCAGAGGTCTTGCAACCCAAATATCAGGATGTGCCTTAAGATGTTATCTGGAAAACAGCTAAAACGTATGAAAGGATTTCCCTACAAACACTGAATATATGCCGTCTCTGCTGAAGAAGACAGACAAAATCCAAGCCAAACTAAGCTCTTTTATGGGTATGTAAGCACTGACCACTCTTCAATGCCAAAAATTTAGACTACTTCTTCTACGGCCAGGAATATCTTAACTGTTCTAACTGCTGAGTTTTGTGGAACAAAAATGCTTTAAAAAGTTCTAGTGCAGTACTACAAAAGTGCTAATGCAAAGACCTCCTCTCCCCTAAACAGTATCACGCTGTGCTGCAGCTTGATAGGGACCCGCTAAAGACCATTCAACTCAAGAAGCTGATACTGCAAAATTAATGATTCATCAAAACACGTGTTGCTTCTAGGCTAAGCATCTCTATCAAATATCTTCTGGGACTTAGGCTGACCCTGGAAACAGAGGGGTTACATAACAGAATTCCTGAGGGTCATCCCCTAGAGACAGTAGTACAAAAGACATTTTAATCCTTTGATGCAAGTGTTCCTCGACAATAATTCACAAAAAAACCCCAAGAGACAAAAGAGACAAGGAGAGTGTTTGCTTTTGTTCCTAAAAACACATGCTGGAAATCATCTTGTATGGGATGAGGAACATCCCAGTACAGCATAGTTATTAGTTTCAAGGATCAGACCCATTGACACAAAGGTAAGTTCAGGATGTGATCACTGACCAAAATACACTCCAAAATCATTGGTGGTTTATATTATTTCTTATGTTGTTACTGGTCATGTTGCCTTGTGTAGGAAATCCAGCTTGATATGCACTGCTTCTTTCCAGGAAGGAAAAGATGCATTTAACATTGAAACGGTTCTTGTTGCAGTGAACTTATGATCAATACTGCACGAGGCCTAAAGAGTGTAAAACACCCAGGGCCATAAACCGGGCCCACTGTAATATCTGACAACAAAGAAAGGATTGTAAAGGGTATTTTTTGTAAGGTCCAAGTCTTTGCAAGATTCACAGAACTTGGAACCCTAGATTCAATGGAAGAAAAGCACTTCTAGTGATGTTCTGGGGAATGAGCAGTTCACCAAGAGCAGTAGCAGCCTTGCTATGCTTCTCTTCTGTCTTGGGGTCAGGTTCCATTTGGGATCAGGTTCAGAAGCATCAGTGTAGGAAAGGGCCCACTCAGACTTCTGTAAACATTGCTTGAATTGCGAGGTCTCAGAATACACTAATATTGCCAGCTGGAAGAAGGTGACATTTCTGGGAAAGAACCCTATCAGCACCTCACCCCAGAACCTCACGAAGACCTGTGTCCTAATCCAGATTCATCATTGGCTCAGAAAAGTCAAAAGCTGAACCTGAACAATCAAGTTGTTGGTTGCAAGACAAAGTTATGATGGGCTCCATAGAAGACTACTGCTCAGAAAGGCACAATAAAATGCTTTGATCCAGCTGGACAATTAAGAAATACTGAGATGGTGGGGAGGCAGGTGGCACATCCAGCCATTCAACTAGAGAAACACAGTTTAATATCTAGAAAAGAAATAACTCATTCCTTTTCTGCCACTCAGATTCCTATAGTCCAGTATACCTTTATCCACTGCAGTACTTTGTGATAAGAATACATTACACTTATCCCAATCCTTCCAATGAAAATTCTGTCTGCTTCATTATGTTGTGAATTTTTTATTACTGGAAAGAAAAAGAAAACATTTTTTTTTATTTTACATGTAGATGCAGTTTTAAAGAAATTACACCTTGAAAAACACATTCATTGTGAAAATATTAAATATACTTTCTGAAGTAAGGTGCATCACTATAGTTTATTCAGAAACTATTTCATAGTAGTCTAATTCATCCATAAGATGACTGGACTTGTAATGGCATAATTTGCTAACATCATTATTATTAAAGTAAGCTTTGTGTTTTCTGGCACCATGGGGAAATGTTGGCAACTACGGAACTGAGTAATTACAAGTGTTTCCAACCATATTATACAAACACTTTGGAAGCACTGTTGGTATTCCAGAACAGTGGCATCCAAACTGGGGTGTGAGCACAGTAATCCATTCAGGTGTGGGAAGAAAATATTTTTTGTAGCATTAACTTTTTTTTTTTTTTTTTTAAAGTAGTGTTTATTTTATCTGCATGCACTGGAGCAGAGATTCTCCTGCAGCCCGTGGTGAAGACCATGGTGAGGCAGGCTGTCCCCCTGCAGCCCATGGAGCTCCGTGCTGCCCAAAGGAGTCTGTGACACCGTGGGAAGCCCACGCTGGAGCAGGCTCCTGGCAGGACCTATGGCCCCATGGAGAGAGGAGCCCATGCTGGAGCAGGTTTGCTGGCAGGACTTGTGACCCCGTGGGGGACCCACACTGGAGCAGTCTGTTCCTGAAGGACGGCACCTGTGGGAGGGACCCAGCCTGGAGCAGTTCATGAAGAACTGCAGCCCATGGGAAGGACTCACGTTGGAGAAGTTCATGGAGGACTGTTTCCCATGGGAAGGACCCCACGCTGGAGCAGGGGAAGAGTGTAAGGAGTCCTCCCCCTGCAGAGGAAGGAGCGGCAGAAACAATGTGTGATGAACTGACAACCCCCATTCCTTGTCCCCCTGTGCCACTCAGGGGGAGGTGGTAGAGAAATCAGGAATGAAGTTGAGTCCAGGAAGAAGGGAGGGGTGGGAAGAGGGTGTTTTAAGATCTGGTTTTAGTTGTCATTACCCTACTCTGATTTGACTGGCAATAAATTGAATTAATTTCCCCAAGTCAAGTCTGTTTTGCCTGTGACTGTAATTGGTGAGTGATCTCTCCCACGAGGTTTTCATAACATTTTCTCTCCCCTGTCCAGCCCGAGAAGGCGGGGGAGTGACAGAGCAGCTTTGGTGGGCACCTAGCATCCAGCCAGGGTCAGCCCACCACAAACTGGAAGCTGTGATAGCTGTTTTATAATATGAAAGTCTGTGGTCAGAAAGGTCATGTTCACATCTCTGAAGTAAATATTCGTCATGTTTTAGTAGTTAATACAAGTTGAAAAACATTTGAGTCATCCATTATAAAGTGCTTTAATATCCCACTCACACTTCACTGAGCCCCAGTTTTCTGCAAACTTATTGGGAAGAATGATACAGATATGTAAATGAAGGGACATAGCGAGGAAAGGGGTAAGAAAACCTGATAGAACTATTAAAAAATTAGAAGGTGTTTTGTGGACCCAGCCCTTGCAGAAATTTGTTCTTTATAGAACTAACTAATTCTGAAAATCCAAATTACTAAAAAAAACCCAACAAAAAAAATGCAAGTTATATACTTGATGTAACCCTGTTCTATGTGTTTTGAAATATACAAATATATATATAACTGTATTTACAGCTCTAAAGTTTATTTATGCTATTAAGAGAGTGACACTTCACATAACAATCCTTAAATACATTTGAGTTTGTCCTGAGAACAGGACATTATTAAAAAGACCACCAACTTTGGTTTCTCTTCTTGATTTCACAAAGCTCAAATGTTTGGTTGTTTTTTTTTTTTCCAGAACTTTCCTTGACTTCAAGTGTAAGCACTGCAGATATTATTTCTACTAGAAAATGGCTTCTATTGAGCATTTTAGCTGATTGTATTTGCACCTCAAGAAATTCTGAATATTGTAACACATAAAATTAACTAATATTCAGAAAACAGTGTACACATTTTGATTTTTACCTCTTAAAAACTCTACAAAAAATAGAGATAGACAAAAAGCATTTCTTGCATCTTAATTTTACCTGCATCAGCAAAATCACAAAAAGGAACTCTTGGTCTGTCTGTCTCAGAATCTCTGGTTAATGTTTCAGCAATACATGAAGACAATTTCTGAAGATCATCAAAATGTTCACATCCAGTTCTCGCATTAACATACAAAGCTCCCAGCTTGGTCCAATCACTTTTCTCCTTGCAATGCTGCAAAAAAGGCAAGGGATAAATATAAGCAAACCTGCTTCCAGAACACCAAACAGAAAATATATCGAAATTTAAGAGATAAAACTGGGATAGACTTAAAGCAGAAAAAAGATGCAGATGCAACACGACTGCCAAGAACCTCCACATTCAATATGGCACAGTTACATGTTGCCTAACTTGCATGGACTGCTAATCACTTTTGTCCCTCAAGAAATTAAAATCCTTTTTCCATTTATGTCATGACCCCAATTGGGGAAGCTCATAACTTATTCATCCTATTTAAGAACTGGCATTTATCCAGTATTTTAATATCTTTTTTCTTCTTCTGCACGATGCGTGCCAAATTGATGTGGGTTTTTTTTATGAATTAGTCTTTTTCTTGCCAAATCACTTGATGACTTTGGTGTTAAAGGTGTAAAAAAATCAGTTTTGGTTCTTCCATTCTTAAATTTTGGTCTCAGGATCTATGCAGTAAGTGTGATAATATGTGAACTATATTATAATTGTGCATAATAAGTAAACTTCCCTTGAATATGAAAGACGCACATGTCCAATTAAAGAATTTTTAATAATATTTTCTTATTCTTTCAAATATCTGCTTAGTGTTGCCAACTGGAGCCTTTTACAATTGTGCCTTTTTATACTAGATATGAATGCTATCTGCTAAATAATAAATTAAATAATTTTTTGGTGAGGAATGATGTACCATGACCAATTACAAGCACAACAAATGTAAGGCATAGGAAATAATTGCTTAAAATTAGAAAATCTTTGAATTAGATGCAAAAACAGGATAAAAACGACAAGTATGTAAATTAACACAAGAAAGCCAAGGAGAGTTTTCCCCTGCATGTTAGTCTTTCCTAAACATGGCTTTGCATAAAAATATTTTATCATAATCTCAATATACTTAATAATAAAGCCTCCTAATTTTAAATTATGTAGAAACTACTATTTCTTCTAGGTTTAAAAGAAGTCAAGGTTTAAGTATTCCAGCAGGCTTGAGGAATGCACATACTGTACCTGAATTTCAGCTACTGCCAAGTTGAAGTCAAAAAGCCAGTTCTTTTCAAAATGTCTTTCCTGAAACCTTCCATAAGAAAAAAATATTAATACTTAGTTTTAACATATCCTATTGGACTAAACTATGCACACTGAACATTGAAAACAGACATTTACAATCATGCCACAGGAAGTCAGTACATGTATTAAGCAAATATAATCGAGCAGAGCTATTTTCACAGAAAATATTCCCTTGTCTCACTAGAAATGTAGCTGAAAAGGTGTGAATAAGACTTGCAATCCATTAATCTTTTAGGACTTTTAGTGGGCATGGTGGTGTTGGGTTGACAGTTGGACTTGATCATCTTAAAGGTCTTTTCCAACCTTAATGATTCTGTGATTCTAGTAAGTATGATTCTAGTAAGTAAATGCAGAACTGTATTAGATGTATTTCTGACACAATGGTTAAAAGAAGTTAATTACATGAATGAAAGTGATATTCAGTTTCAAATACACAGGACCATAATACTTTATTCTGATGCCACCACTGAAACAATGGACACATCTATCCAGTGCAATGCTATCATGTAGAGATACATAACGTTAAGTATGAACAAGCTAACACAGGTAGCTGAAGTAGCACAGCTGCTCAAGTCTTCATAGATAAATGATATTTCTCAGTTTGTCCCAAAAACACATACATACTGAGGCAACCTGGAAGGGCTAATTCCTTTGTGAATCAGATTCCTGATCTGAAAAGTGATAAAAATTACCTCCAATATGAGTGTAAGTTGCACTGGTAGAACACAGAGATCTGTGGCTGAAAGGTACTCTATGGGAAAAGTATGAAAAGCAGCAAATAATTTCTAGTGCCTTCACTTGAAACAGTGATGGCTTGTTTTCACACAGTAGATGCTGCGTATTTGGTTTCCTCTAAGAATCAAAGGCTGCTTTATGAATCGCAAATTTAAGTTTCTCAGCTTGTGTGTGCGTGTATGATGCAGATGATAGAAAAAAAAAAGGATCACAATCTTGTGCAAGTGATGGGGAGATGTCAACAATTTTGGAACAGATTTGGGCTGTGATTTCATATTTTGCCTAGCATAATCCAGCAGTACTTAAAAAATGACCCTCCTCCCTAGTTGTGTTGGCACAAATGTTTATGCAGTTGCACAGTACACGAAACTAGAAAACTACTTCGTATTATAACTAATCCTCTTATTGCCTAAAAGAGTTGTTAACTGCAGAAGTACTGTTTGCTTATGCAGGCATAAATGATATATTAAACCACAATGTTTCTACTTTGACTACAGTTATATAAAACACGTAGCACAGCTGGAAACAGATTGTACAATGATGATCAATATGGAAAAAACTAATCATAATCACAGTCAGAATCTTAAGTTTTGACTTAACAATCTTTGATCTTTGAAGTACAGTAGCTTGACAGCACTTTCAAATACAACTAAGTGTGGTATGATAGTATTTTCATCCAAAACACTAAATTTGCATTTTCTAATTGCCTTTTAAAAGTTTTAACATAAATTTATAAAAATTTAACCTGAACAAGAAACCAGACAGATACAATTATAAAATAGCTCCTTAAAGACATACCTGGATTTTATGTTCAAAACAATATTTATTTCCTGACTGGAAACTTGCAATTGGTGAAGGAACTTAAGAATGTAGTCAAAATGTTCAGACTCAAGGAACATACCAGCATTAATGAACTGCAATATCAAAGAAAGGGAAGAAAAGTAAGCATACAAAAAGTTGTGTTCACTTACGTATTTCCAGAGGCAAGTGGCAAACAACAGCTGGAAAAACACTTCACAGTGAATTTCAGTCAAAAAATAAGGGATAAATATCCACTAGTCACAATATAACTTTTAAAAAATATTAAGCGATATGTTTGAGTTTTAAAACAGGCAAGGTATTTCAGAAATTCCAGCAAGTAGCAGTAGTACAATCAAACTCATACCTTACAAAAGGTACTGATTAATGTAGGTACAGCGTCTCTTATATTCAAAGAGGCCACATGCTCAAAAACTTTCAGAAGAACATCTGCAGCTGGCTAATTTAGACAAAAAAGCACAATCAGTTTTACAACTCTGTTCAACTAGAAAGCTTAGAGTTTTTATAACGGGAACTTTTGAATGGCTCTTCCCCCCCTCCAAGATTTGAGTACCAGAGTAAAAACAAACTTGTTCCTACAAATGGCACACTACTCAAAAAACTAAGAAACGATGGATCAAAGATTTAAAAAATATTACAAGGCCACCTACCAGTGTATTGATTCGTACAGCTACATTCAATATCTGAAATACTTCCCGCAACAAACAATTCTTGAGCAAAGAAATGAGAAGATCGTTCAGCACTTGAGAAGCAAAATCCACACCAGGAGTAACTTCTCTGTAATATTTCACAAATATTTGGACTGAAAAAGCAATTAAATTAATTAACTTTGGGGTAATTGATACTAACTATTTAAACAAGTTATTTCCTTAAATTTTAAATGCAGTGTAACAACCTTAATTATCCAGGATATTATGGGACAGGGATATGGAGAAAAATGGGTGAAAGGATCCAGTCTGAATACAGTGTTAACCTTACTAGACCCAGACTGACTATTCTGAAATATCTCGTGTCATTGAGCTGAACACCATAAGCCCTGTAGGTCTGCAGAAATCTTAGCTCATTTGGTGCAGCACAAGAAAAATGCACAAAACCAGGTTAGATTTGGTAAGTGCACCAAGGTAGTAAGGCCTTTCCAGACATGAAGCTCTAGGAAGTGATCTGCAGCATTATCATGGTGGATGGTGTTACAACCTGTTCCAGCGCTAGCCTTGATAGACATGTACTATATCCTGCTGGTACCCAGTGTTATCCGCATTACAATGTAATAGAGTAAAATTTAGCCCTTTCTGACTGGACTCAAAAGCTCAGATGGATCTGAATCAACTACAGTCCCTAAAAATCATAATTGTTTACATATATGGTAATGTGAAAGGACTAAACTAAAGCTGTTTGGGTGCTGTAGCAGCACTTCATTTTAAGAGCTTAATTCTAAATTTTTTGGATTTGTGATGTTTGGCCAGGGTGTCCAAAAGTGCCTTAACAAAATTTTCATTCTGTTAAACCTCTCCCCTGCCCCAGTTACTCATTTCTACTCTCAAGTCTAGTTCTATTCAGGCTAAGTTCATTTTCTGTGGAAGTAAGATTTGTAACAACCTCCCAAGATAACTGCGTATCTAAATACGTAGCCACAATGGGAAACTGGATCATGAAAACACATGGAATGGATGTATTCCTTCAAAATAAGAACTTCTTATTCACTGTTGAAGTGGCATCCATTTCTCTCCTGACAGCCTATTTAATTTGCTTTAAATAAGCTAAGTATCGAAGATACATCAAAAGCTACTACTGTATCATACCTGCACGTTTTAGAAGGCTTGATTCTTTGATACTAATGTATGTCCTAAGTATTGCCATGCAAATCTAGAAAAAGCGGAAAAAAATCCGTAGTAAAATGTTATCTCAGTTTATGCTGAACAAGAGTACTACCCATAAACATGAGTTCTAGAAGGAAATGAGCTTTACATTGCTTTTGTTTAACCCATACATACTGACAAATGGTATAAGAAAGTAGGTGGGTCTGTAGGAAAAGGTGCCGTCAAAAGGACAGCAAATCAAATAGAAAAATAATGTTGTTTGCAAAAGGAGCTGCTGGGACCACAACTACATGCATGTGTGTGTATATACTCATAGCAAACAAAAAAAAAATTTGAAAATACAGTTACTTCAAAATTCATAAGTGTGTCAGACTGTGAACAAACAAAGGGCAGCAAAAAGGTGAAAGTGAAAACATGATAAACAAAAGTTACATGAATGTACCGAGAAGTTAAAAAATTATCTAGAAATGAAGTTAGTAACACTGATCTTCACAAGTCACTCATAAGGACATAAAAGAAAAAGCTCAGAACTAACTCAATTTAATGAAGCATTTCACCCCAGACACACTTGATTAAAAAAAATTATCCACACCTAGATATTTTAATATGTTATTTGATATTGGAACATTCTTGTCTTAACATCTTAAGCTGTCAGCTCTGTGATACTTACACATTTTGCTCCATCTCTGCAGATGAAGAAATAAAGACTACTGAGATTAATTCTCAGAATTCCAAGGTAGGAAAAAATCCACCCACCCTTTCAGATACCCTTTGTCACTTCTAGAACATTTACAGTCTTTCTGCACAACAATGTAAATGGGTCATGTTTAATACTATTTTGTGAAATAATGAAAAATCAAAGAGACAGAAAACGCCCTAAATTAGTAGTCATGTTACTACAGAATTGAGTTGGGTTTATTTTTACATGCAGCTTCAAAATTAGACAGGATCCACTCATGGAGTTTGTTACATAGCAAATGAGGAAAATACTGGTTTGTGGTCAAGACATCTTTCATTTTTTAAAACTATTAACCTGTTCAGATCATCAAATCAAAGACACAAAAATTGTACATGTAAGTATGTTAAAGATAAACAGAGCTTATTGTTTCTATTTTGAAACAGTGTCATAATGCTGCTGAACTATAGTCTAAGATACACCTTTCAGAAAATCATGTAGAATCTTTGATCGTTAATATACATGCAGTGTCACTTGGCAATGGGTTAACTCATTTAATACAAATCTACAATCCCAGGTGGCTGAGGGCACTTCCAAAACAAACTTTAGCACATGCTTACAGTATGAAATTAGTTTGGTTTCTTTTGGAATTGTTTTCCTCCTTCTTTGGACTGACTCCCAAAAAAACCCCAAGATTGCATCTGGAGCAATGGCTGTGTAACTTATACAAGCAACCATCTGTCCAGTAAAACACAGCTCTACTGCAGTAACACAGAGGTGCTTAAATCAGAAGAACAAGCATGAGAATTTATGAAATCCTTCAGCATCTCCCAGTCAGTGTGCACTCTGATGTTTAATAAGGGGGAAAAACCTCATGCTGCAGCCCTTCGCTCAGTGAGATCAAAACCAGGATTGTTTTTACAAGAGATTCTGTTTATGAACCCTGTGGCACTTTTGAGACACACGCTCCATATTAACTGTGTCTGAAAGTAACCAACAGGTTCACAAATTATTTAAAGGCAGAGATGGTAATAAAAGGCCAGTGCAACTTTAAGTCTCATTATTTAGGAAGCCAGATTAAAATAAAACACACCCCCCTTCAAGCATACACCCCAGACCCTGAAGTTGCAAGACGACATTCATGAAGACAGAAATCTTCCTATTTTATATCCTGTTTGTTTCCAGTTAGAAGTTCATAGGATCAAGGAAAAAGACAGTAAGAACTTACAAAAATTAAGCATTTCTTTAGTGGATGCAAGTCCAAAAAAGCTAATGAGCAAGATGTACAAAGATAAAATAAAATCAGAGAAATACAGTTTGCATAAAGATGCTTTCAAACCACTTATCTAACTGTGCAATTATTACCTATGCTGCACTGCAGTCCGAAGTGTCATTCAAGCCAAACTGAATTTCCTGTAATTTCAGTTTATGCCCACTGTCTCTTGTCCTTTCACTGGGCACCACTGAGAAGAGCGCGGCTTCATCTTCTTTACCCACCCTCCCATCAGATAGTTAAGATCCGCCCCCTTTAAAGATACACATAGTTAAGATCTGTCCCCTTTAAATACTTTGGGTAGTACTTAAAACACAGTCTTAATAGTTTTGTTTACTTTGATAATACAAAAGAGTTTTCACTGTTTGAAATTAAAAAGGCATCTTTAAAATAAAATAAAAACTGGTAACTTGCAGAACTCTCCGAGCTCAAGAGTATGCTGATTTTCAAAACATGATATGTTTATGAATTAAATCACTGCTGTGTTGTGTGATCAACCGACAACTGTGAAGAGTGTTAAATCCTAGTAAGTTATGCCTTAAAGCATTAACCAGTTACTTAATGAAAAGAAAGGAATATCCATTATGGGGAAAGTTACTTCTCTTCAAAAATTCTGGTAACGCTTATCACTGAAAACATAGTACTAAGCAAGTGGACTACCAATTTGCAGAACAATTCCTAAAAAGATTTATTTCCTCTATATTTGACTAGATGACTTTGTTGCTGCTTTACCTGTCTTCCATTTATGTACTTTGGTGCCACCATGAGGTGCTTGGCCTATTATTATTTTTAAATGGACAGTTCTAAAAAAAATAAGTAAATACACAAACAAAACCCAAAGTATAGTTTGAGACTACCAGGAAAGTTAGGCTAGGTTTGGTGGGCAAAACAGTAAATGTGCTGGAGTGCTGCACCACAAGTAAAATCAAATGTAATGGATTTTTAATACTTTTTTTAATATTTATGTCTAACAGGTTCACCACAAGTTATTTTTTACACTTTGATTCTGTAATTTCTTTCTTATTGACATCCATGATAAAATTGTACCCATACCAGTAACATGGCAGATAAGAAATAAATCTTGTAGACCTGATGAGGACAAGTTTAGGCATTTGTCTTTGTTTAGTCGTTTTACTGTTTTTATTTGCTTCCAAGTGACTTAAAGAACCACCTAAGTCTTGGTTTCATACAGCCAATTCCAAAATCTTGTTACACAACAGCACAATTAGCTTGCCTTGCACAGTTCTTGGAAGTATTACAGACTTGTAATTTCTTTGTTTGGTTTGAAAACACACCTACTTTGCCGACCACTGGAAAAGTATTTTTCTTGCAAATATTATGAGAATTGTGGCTCTGTTTAAGGAGATTACAGCACCTTTAAACAAACATGACCCTGTTGCAGAAAACTTGCAGAAAGTAATATACCCTAGATGGCTGTTGACTTTAAGCATAGAAAATCTGGGTTTGCTTACAGGTCTCTGATGCTTGGGATAGAAATGTCTTAGAATCTCCCCATTCTACTACTCTGTATTCGTACAGCCTAATTCTTGCTCTTTTTAAGAGAACAGACACCAGCAAAAGTCTACTAGTTCAAAAGTCTACCACTTTTTTTAAAAAAAGAACTTTAAAAGATCTTGAGAGAAAGAATTTCTGAACATTTTTTTGATCCATCAATCTCTGAAATTTACTCTTTTTCCATATATAAATGAACAAAGGAAATGTCATTTTGCATTTAAAAAGTGTTCACACTTACAATCTGTTCCTTTCTTCAATAAATCTCATTACCTTTTCATCCCCTTGTTCAGGAACGTGCCAAAACCAACATTTTGCTCTTTCACACCCACGCAGAGTCATGAAATAAAATCTGCAATATTTACGGGGCAATTCAATCATCTCAAGGATCCGCGGGACTGAATGAGAAGCCTAAAATAAAATAAAATTAAAGCAAGCAGAGAAACAGTAACAGATAATATTTTTGAAAGCAAACATGCTTATTGTTTTGAGAATTTAAAAATATCTACAAATTATAAAAGCTATAAATACGTGATCTACAATTAAACCTTTGAAAAAACCCTCATCTCTATACTCCATTTGCAGCATTTCCAAGATCAAGAAAGACCAAGACTGATCCAAGATCAATCCCTTGTCATGTCTAACACAACAAAAAACTGTCTTGAAGACCACAGAGAGAATGTAAGAAGTGCTAAATGAGATGGACAAGGAGTAGAGAGGAGGAAGAAAGGTGACAAACTCCTGCATGGGTCTGGATAATATCTGAGAATTCTGGGGCATCAATTTCCTTTACCCTTTTCCAGTGCCCAGCATAATGGATAATGGAGTCTGCCTAAAACATGTGAAACCTGGTCTGCTTTTCAGTTCTACAAAAACAATAAAGCAAAAAGCATTATTTGATTTTGCTTAAGCTGGAAACAGAAATCAACAAAGCTCCACTGTGAATAGCTGTCCCCTCAACATTGATTTTGTTCTCAGAAATTGTATCTACTCAGTGATAACATCTTTAGAGGAGTAGAAACATAAACATACATAGATTCATAATTTCTGACTAGATATATGGAGAATTGTCTGAATATCCATAACAAAAAGTTAGTGCCAAAGGATCAGAAATCATTAAGGATTTAACAACTTACAAGTGCATTTTTTTCCATCTTCCATGGCTGAAAATCTCCGTAATTCTGCAATGGCAGCACAGGACTTTTTCCTGAAAATCTGTATTCTAAAAATTAGGATGAGGGCGATAAATGGATCGTGTAATAAAATGAACCATACTGAAACCACTCGCATTTATCTTATTTTCCTTTATATTTATAGTTCCTTCAAGTCACAGCAAATATTAATGAAAATTTGATTAATACAATCTAAAGCCAGTAATTTAAGTTACAGTTGTCTTAATTATCCTAAAACTGAGAATTTACACAAGCTTCAAGAGTAAGCACATTTTAAAACTTCACCACTTTATCCGAGGTTTCTAATTTATGGAGATAAGAAAAGAAATAGAATAAAAATATCCAGAAAAGGAAAAACACACACACACTTTATCAGTAATTTTTGCATTCCCACATCACTAGCCATAAATTGAAACTATTTTTCCAGAATTGAAATAAAACCTTTCATGCTCTAAGCAGTGCAATATCAAGCTTAAACCCAATGTAAGTTACTGGTTTCTTAACCATGGAACTTGGTTTTAGAACTTTAATTATTATTAACATATTTCTTTCCCTGAAAAATGAATAATATTAATGGAAGATAAAAGTTCAAATTTTCAACTCCATATCTAAAGAGGTATAAGAGCTTTTGAGTGCCTTGCTTTCTAGGTTCCCATCTGGCCCCTTGAAAGAACTGTGTATTCAAAAGGCAGGTTGCTTAGCCCTTTCTGACAAACTATAGTTATTAAAGAGCATCCAATAATGACGCATGTTCTAATAGGGACTTGCAGTAGGTACACGGTTCTTAATCTGCATGTCTTTCTAGACAGACAGGACTATCACAGGATAGGAAGGAGAAATATAATGTATAACAATTAAATATCTAAATTTTATGTACTGACACAGCTGCATAATTTCGTGCAGTGATGGTGGGCAATTTGGTGAATTCAGGATTGGATAAATTTAGTGATAGGAGAAAGACTGAGAGAACAGTCAAACACTAGCTGCAGAAAAATGCCACTGGAAACTTGAGCTTGGAAGTTTTTCCTCCAGATTCTTGCTGTCTCAACAGCATAGAGTTTCTGACCACGTCTTTTCAATAGTTTGTACTCTCCCTGCTGACTGTATGTCAAATTTGTAGGGGAGCAGGCACTTAGGTGAAATAGCCAATCCTGCCTGCACAGTTCTGGGGAAAAAAAAAAGGCTGTTTTGCCTACTCCTAGCACAGAAACTCTTGCTTTGGCAACTATTTCAAGCGATTTTAAGAAGGAAGTCAAAAGGTGTATACACTTTTAAGGCCAAAGACATGAGCAATTTCAAACTACTGTAGTCTAGAGACATATTTCAGAGCCGCTTTTTATAGCATGTATGTTTCTTGCACTTCCTGAAAATACTGTTACATGACACAAAGATAAAATCATTCTATAAGCTCAGCTGGCAGTATAATTTGAAACTAAGCAAGAACCTCTACCACTGACCTCAATTCAGGAAGTCCACGTTTATAAACACCCATATTAACCAACAATTCTAAAAACATTAATTCCCAAAACAGCTGTTGCAAAGAAACAGAATGAAATATCTATCTGTAAGTAATCAATTCCTGTTTTTCTCTATCTTGTATGCCAAATAAAACTATGCATTTATGTAAGGCTAAATGTCAGAGTTGTTATGTGCAGAGAAAAAGAGAAGAGAACTTTGACTACAGTTCCATCACATTATGATTTCTCTGGCAGCAGACACACTTACGAGATACATTTCACACCTGGGACCTAAGGTATCAGGTCAAAATGAAGTGCTGCTTATTCAATCTAGATAATTTCCTTGATCCAGTCTAGTGAATGTCTCACAAACATTTGAATTGGCATAAACAACGAAGTTCTGACCTTTGGCAAGGTCGGCAAATCCCTTAGCCAAGTTTTGCTGACAGATAACAAACAACTAAGAAAATCTGTAGTCACATTCTCTGACCATAAATAAAGAAAAACACGTTATTTGCCAATAACATGGCTCAAACACAACATGTCAAAATACTAAGAATGGAGACATTGCTGTACCATTGAAGTATCTGAGAACCATAAATGCTAAGATAGAATGATTGCTACTTTACCCTACTAAATAGGATTCTGCTAAAAAACCCAACACAACAAGCCTCACTAAATACGAGAGCTTGCATTTTTGCTTCTATGTGTGCAAACCAAAATGAATTCCAGCCAATGCCGTCAGGAATTGAAGGAATTCCTTAACATTTCATAGGTAAATAAAACACATGTAAAAATAAATTCTGGAGGATTCACCAATACAGCATACAATACCATTTGTCTGGGGTTTCATCACTGTAGCTTCACTGAGGACATTTGCTTTCGGGGCATGCAATGGAAATTCGGATGACAGCAATTCACAGTTCACAAGATCTTTGTATTTACAGTCACTATAAGTATTAAAAAACAAAAATTTGTTTAACCAAATTAAACAGGTGCTTCTCCAATATACTGAACACCTAAAAAGGGGGATTAAGTGTATAAAAGGAGAATTTCTTCAACAATTTACATAACACTTAAAAACATTGCTGTAAGTTTAAATACCTAGCAGTCCCGACAACTTTACTTTCATTACTCTCATCGCCTCATCCAATCTGATTATGATTTTAGCTGAGATTATTCTGTCCTAAAGTGTAACTATATGAAACTCAATAAATAAGTAGAAAAGGCACCTCTGAACCACTTCTATTTATTTTTCACTATGCTGACAGGAAGACAAATGATTTCTGTCACTTCTGAAGAGGCAGAGTTCAATAGCCCGTTACGTAATATCTGCCAAAGAAGTAATCCACCCACAAAGCTTTTCAAATTACATTTGAAGAGCCAACTGTTTTCCTTCCTAACAACTGACACTACTCAGCAAAAGATTTAGGTGATTTCAAGGAGAACTCCAATTAAAGACTGTTCTGCCTTTAACTATACCCAAATATACACATTCCAGATAATTAAACTACTGAAATGTGATATTTTCCAAAATAAGCTGCAAATATTGCAAGCAAAATACTTGGTGATCTTTTTCTTATTCATAAAGCCACAGAAAAAAATAATGCCTGTTCAGGAGATCTTCCTCCCCTCCCCCTTTCAGTTAAGAATCTAGGTTCAGTACAAAGGACATTTCAGCCTGCTTGCTGTTTGGAGACAGAAACAGACTTGCTATCTCCTATGAGAGGCATATTCTAGCTATTTAATACTCCTCATAGCCAGGATAAATGCTGGCTAAAACCTTTCCTAAACTGCAGGCTGTTTTTAATGCAGTTTGAGATAATGCTATGGCAGAGAAGAATAAACTGTACCTAATAAATGCAAATTCTTCAATATCAACCTTTATTTTTATTCTAGTCAATGTACTGTGTAGGTCTCCAGATGAAAAAAATCTGCAGATCTAGTTACTCTGAATTTTCAAGTTACCATGTAAAATTTTTTTAATGCTTCCTTGCGATGCCAGCCTTAGATCTGACACAACAGGATTTTCATAGCAGCTTACCTTCAGGATCATCTCAGCTCTTTGAGATTTTGCCAGGAACTGTAAACTATATCACTCTACAATCAATTTATTTTTTTAAGTAACAGCATCACTAGAAGCAGAGTTTGCTAAATAAGAGCAGTGACTATGTTTTCTTCTAGAGGAAACTTTGCAATGGTAACATTTTTGAGTAAAACTAGAGAAAATAGTTTGACTCCAAATGAAGGAATAAATTCCTCTTCTCAAACTGCAGAGCGTGCTGCATTTCAACTAAGTGAAGTAATGTAGTATCACTTCCACAAACATATTTTATCCATCATAATCTACTTATTCTACAGCTTAAAGTACTATTTATGCTACTAAGGTAAATTTAAATGGGTATTTTACTAGGAGGAGGAGCTTGGAGCTCTCTAGCTGATTAATGAAAAGATGCAATATTCTCCATTTAATGGACTTCTGGAACACTTCAAGTCTGTCACAGAAATGTGAACGGTGCCGGAAAAAAGCAAAACCCTCCTCTATGCCAGCTAAGGTTTCTCAATTATTGTGAAAATGACTCTGAAATATCTGTTATTTCTCTTCTAACTACTTAAGTATTCCATCAGTTAAGTATACTTTTTCTGCAAAGTCTTATTCTGCTTCATTTTTCGGCTGATGTTGAATGGAAGTTTCTTAGTCTGAAACTTTAAGTCGTATATACAATAAACACTAAGCACAGCTTGAAGCTAGAACAGTAAAGCACATACTTAACTCCACATGCCATATTTTTAAGTGCCTTTTTCTACTGCTGCTCAAATATGTCAGCCTGAATTTGAATGAGATCTTTCAATTTAGAAAGTCCCAAAAGGCAGAAAAGAAAGTTGGTTTTTTTTTTTTTCTTTCTTTCTTTTTTCTGTAAGTGTTGTTGTGGCTGGAAATGTATCTTATGCTACACTCACATTGAGATGCCAAGGTGAGACACTGCATAAAGTGGATATATTTCATCACCAGCCAGAGGACAAAGTAACCTCTATTGTCCTGTCAAGCTATGACTATACTTGTCTTGTACTTTGCACAGTGAAATTATATTATTTCACATATTTTCTTAATCACATAGTCACAATAACATAAAAAAAAGAATTAAAATTCTGATAGTATTTTGATAAAAACATTACATTTCATTTGTACAGTAACTGGCAAACATCACAGGTTACATGAAGGACACAGTATATATACCTTTTTTCAGCTTCACCCTTTTTTTCTTGTTTAACACCAGGCACTCCATCTGCAAATCTGAACTGTGAAGATATTTAAAATGTACTTTCAGATGCAGCAATGCACTATTAAGCCTGTTACGCTTTACACTACAGACTTAAAACTGTTAGTGATTGTTGCAAGGTGTGGTAATATACTCTTGACTGTAAAAAACTGTAATTTGGACTGTAGTGTTACTCTTACACCATCTTTTTAAATGAATACACTGCCATTATACTCTGTGATCTTTAAAATAGTAATTTTTAGTTGGAAAAAACATGACAGGATTACCATCACTTCTCTTTGCTCCCACTTATAATCCCAGCAATTTTTAGGCCCACTGCCCAATTTTAACTGCACCTGACAGACGTGTAGAAACCCACAAAAGACATTCCATCATGTTTAATGAAAATTTCAAGCAGTATTAAGGAGAAATCTAAGGCTTTTGCTCAGCTGTGCACCATGGTGTATAGGCAAAAAACCCCCAAAGATCAGAGAAAAAAGACAGCACCTAACATATTTGGGGGTGAGACTCTGAAAGGACCGATATAGAACAAAGTCATGGAATCCTGGCTTTGTTTTGTCCATTATTCATGAATTAACTTGAACTTCACATTTGTCCTGGTTTCAGCCACGATAGAGCTGGTTTTCTTCACAGAAGCTAATGTGAGACTATGTTTTGGATTTGGGATGAGAAACTGTTGATAAGGTGTTGATGTTTTGGGTTGTTGCTGAGCAGTCAAGGACAGTCCAGCTTCTCGTGCTGGCCCACCAGCAAGAAGGCTGGGGTTGCCTGGGAAGCTGGGAGGGGACACAGCCAGGACAGCTCACCCAGGCTGGCCAAAGAGATATTCCATACCATACGACGTCATGCCCAGTACATAAACTGGAGTTAGCCGGGGGGTGGAAATCGCTGCTTGGGAATGGGCTGTCGATAGCTGGGTGGTGAGCAATTGCTGTATTGGGCATCACTTGTTCTTGTACATTCCTTTGTTGGTATTATCAGTGTTGTTTCCTTTTCTCCTTCTGTCCTATTAAACTGTGTTTATCTCAACCCACGAGGTTTTTTTTCTAATTCTCTCCCCCGTCCCACTGAGGGAGGGGGAGTGAGTGAGCGGCTGCGTGGTGTTTAGTTGCCAGCTGGGGCTAAACCATGACAACATTATATCATAAATTTATGATAGCCAAATAGATATGCTCTCATTGGATTTCTAAACTTCATTTTACCAGTTCCCCAAAATATTTAGGGTTTTCTCCATGGTTAATTTTTGTCCTTCTCACAGCCTTATTAGTTGGAAAAGCCATCAAAAAAACCAAATCCCCAAAATCACCCCAAACAGTAGAATACTTGCAACAAGTGTTCTGCCAATCCACTCCCTCCCCAGGTCTGCAGAGCTAGTTTTCCATCCACTTACAGGAATACGATTGGTATGTATTTGGTGGCTTCACTTTGGTTAAGTTTGAGGTTTGGGTGAGATCAGTTGTACATATTTACTGTTGTCCAACACGGCACAGAGAAACAAACATTAGGACACAGATTTTATAAAGCCACAACACTACAAAGTAGCCCAGCTATGACTGACCTTGCAATATTGCAACAAGTACTACACCTCCAGTAACCTACACTATTGGACAGATCCTCTTACCCTCTCTAAGAGGTCAGGGAACAAGATGGTGCTGTTCACTTTGTGAATCGGATGTTAGCAGCCCCAATTCCATTTGCTGAAGGAAATGTTTCTATTCTGCTTTTAAACAATGATTTTGCCAGGGAAACTGATTCCCTACTGTTTGATTACCTTATCAATTACTTACCAGCTTTTAGCCACATGAATTTTACAGTTTAACTTATCCAGTTAAAACCATTATCCACTCTTGAAGTAGTGGAAAACAGTAAATGCTATCAGCAGCTATGTCTGAGTGGCAGAGAGATGTAAATTCCAATCCATTATCAAAGAAGTAAATAGTATAAAACTTCAGCAAGTCTTAAAAAACCTAGACTTACTATCTAGAGGAAGGATGACAGAGAGAGTAAAAAGGTCAGATGAAGTCAGTGAGCATGAAAATGGCTTAAAGTTCCCTCAGAACTGTCAGGAAGTCAGTATGTTAATATAATGGTCCTTCTGCCTAAGTAATGAGCCACAGAATGATCCTCCTTGGATGCATGATGGCTGTGCAGCTCCCCAGCTTTCCATCACCATCCCATCCTTCTGAGACTGTGTGGTGAGAAGCATTTAACACCAACTTTTAAAAACAGGCGTGTTATGTAAAAATTTCACACATGCACAGCTGTACTCTTAGGTGTTCAGTGGAACAGTAATACAGAATTACTGTAACAACTGATGCAACAGTGTCTTGTTTCATTTCAAATCTTAAGATGAAATATTAGTGACCAGGTAAAAAAACCCACCAAATTCTGTGTCCTGGTTTCAGTTGGGATAGAGTTAATTTTCTTCATAGAAGCTAGTATGAGTCTATGTTTTGGATTTGGGATGAAAATAATGTTGCTAACATACTGATGTTTTCAGTTGTTGCTAAGCAGTCAAGCACTGTTCAGCTTCTCATCCTGGCCTGCTGGCGAGAGGGTGGGGGGGTGCATGGGAAGCTGGGAGGGGGCACAGCCAGGACAGCTGACCCTGGCTGGCCAAAGGGCTATTCCATACCATACAACATCATGCCCAGTACATAAAGCTGGGGAAGAAGGAGGAAGGGGGGGACATTTGGAGTGATGGCATTTGTCTTGCCAAGAAACCATTACACGTGATGGAGTCCTGCTTTCCTGGGGATGGATGAACACCTGCCTGCCCATGGGGAGTGGGGAATGGATTCCTTGTTTTGCTTTGCTTGTGTGCGCGGCTTTTGCTTTGCCTGTTAAACTGTCGTTATCTCAATCCATGAGTTTTCTCACTTTTACCCTTCCGATTCTCTCCCCCATCCCACTGGGGAGGGATGAGCGAGTGGCTGCATGGTGCTTAGTTGGTAGCTGGGACTAAACGATGACATTCTGTCAAGCAAAACTTACATTGTCAATAGCACAGTAATCTATGAAATGCTAATATTCTTTTTATTACAGGAAATTAAACATTTTGTTGATAAAACAACATTAGTAATTTAAATTATCTAATTACATGGACTATAATTTCTTAAACTAGTGACAGAAAGCATGATTTCTCAGTACCTTTTCATCCACATCAAAACTCTTTAACAGTTCATCTAGTTCTCTCAGTTGCCCATCTTCAAGAAAGTCCTCAGTAACACCACTAAAAGGACTGCTTGCTCTGGAGTAGTTGTAGGGTTTAACATATTTAGCTGAAAATGTATAAACACGTTACTTTATGCATTTCCCATGCTACAAGACAATAAAGCTTTTATTTCCTAAATATTATAAAGCCTTAATACCAATGACATTTAAGAACTCCTAGGACTTCCTAAATGTGAAATTTACATGTAAAATTATTTCACCTGTGAAGCACAAACCTTTTCAAATAAATATTAAATAAAATCTGCAATTAAAATTCTATCCAAGCTGCATGTTCTCTAAAGGTCCCTGTAGAACAGTACAACAGGTTTATTTACATAATATTGAATTAAATATTTTGGAAATAAATTCAGTTAAGCTTTGTTACTAAAACACAGCCAAAGATATCTATGGTAATTTGCTATAAAATTATATAAAGCAAATAAAGATGTAGTCTTTGCTGGAGAAGGGTATAAGTTAATAGTAATGACATGATACAACACTGAACTCATTATAAATAGCTCCGAGAAACTCCAAGTTCCCATAATACATTGAAGTCACTGAGAATTCAGTGTCAGGAAATTTCAGCACCTTTTGCAGATGCCACAGGAAATGAACAGAACACCTGACTGCAGCTTTCTGAAGCAACTGTTCATGTACAATAGAAGAGCTCTGCATAGAAAAGAAATTCACTATTTCATTGGATCACATGACTGAATTTCAACTGCACTGCGTTGTCCACATACAGGAAGAAAGAATCAGATAATTATAGGAAAGGCTTTTATCTTATAGTTGCTGGTCTCTGTATGATCACCAGTACACGACACATCTCCGTGAAGACAATGTATATAAGATTACCACTTGAAAGATGAAGAGTATTGATGTCATCCAGAATACCTTAACCGTAGTATTTGTTGCCCTGCTTAGACTGTGAAGCCACTGAGACAAGCAACAATGCCCTCGCTACATAACACAAGACACCAAAGCAATAATACATATTTCTAAATAAATACCTAAATTGTCAGTAATTACCAAAACCAGACACCCTTTTTTTTTTTCTGTATAGGTCTTTTTAAAAAGTCATACATCAAACATAAGTTACCATGTGCATATTAATCTAAGAGTGCGATGTGATCCTAAGTTTCTCAGATCTGGGAAGAAGGACCTACTTAAACCTTTTTCTTTATTTTAAGTACCACAAAAAGACCCAAAGACTTTTAGCCTCAAACTTTGTTAGAGCATGAAGTAAAAAACAGTCTAAGAAAATACAGAAGTTACTAAATAGTACAGCACTTGCTCCCAGGTTTGGTTTCAATCACCTCGTACTGCAGATGCCATGGCACAGGCCACTCTGGCTTTTTATATACCAGAGGCCTAACTGTGTACGTCCTCCCTAACTCCTCTTCAGGGAACTTGTGTCTATTTCTTGGTGTCTGAGCTCTTAAACCCTCATTACCTTTTATTTTCCTTTCTGATCACTCAAGCCTGAAACTTTCTCTCCCCCAAATAGTCACTATTCACTCCTTTTTCTCCAGGCGACTATCTGCCCAAACTACTCACTCTTTCTACGTGAACATAACACATTAATATGAAAGAACAGCAGAAGAAGTACTGCCATAGACACTTTTCAAGCCTGCAGTAAAATCAACACATAATGGTGGAGTGCCAGATTAACAGCAAGCTGACAAACTGAGACCAGAAAGGGAAACACTGAGAACCTTCAAAACCAGTCTTGGCACTCTGTGCCTTCTCCAGTGTGTGACTAATGGGCTTCTGCTCAAAGTCAAAATCCTGTTCCTCCAACCTATCTAAGAGAAACTTCCACATCAGACATACCTTGTATAGTAGGTCTGTATGCAAGCTGTAGAAAACAAAACAAGTCACATTCAGATGCTGCCTAGTTGGACTGTTCTGCTTAAAATTGGAAGAAGAAATCATTAAGTCAGAAGTATCCTTCTCTAAAAAATAAGCATCCTTCAAAAATAGAACAGTTTGTCAGAGGAATGGGCACAGAATCTGCAAAAACCAAAAGTACACCCTGGAAAAAAAAACTATTATAAAATTCTGTCTGCTGATGAACACAAGAGAACAACCAAGTGAGATTATAAATCAGACTCCAAAGCAGTATCGCAGTACTCAGTGTCTTACTATCACCTCATCAACTAACAGAATCCCTTGCCCATAAGGGAGATGTCAAAAAAACCCACAACCAAAACCAAAAAAACCCAACCCCAGTACTACCAACAGACAAGTACTACAGAGATGGAGATGTTCCCTGTAAGGCTCAGGTTTGTACCATTTCAAAAGACATCCATTTTATATGCATTAGGAAACAAATCACTGTTGCAATAAAAAGATATTACTGAACTCACAGTTCTCATTTTACGTGGAAAAGTGGCTACTTCCTTCTCTTGATTGCACATTCAATCTCCAAAGACTCTTACCTTTTAGCACCCAATCACAGGAATTTTCAGTGTCATTTGACATTCCAGATTCTTGTATGGTAACGTGTCTGTTTTGAACAAAAAGTGTATTTAAGATTTCCATCTTGCAGAAAAGCAGCATCAATCTAACCAGTTATACAAAGTTCTCCGTAATACTTTTAGCTATTGGCAGAATCCTTACATACAACACACTGTTGTAAGACTCTTCCTAACTCTCTCTTTTGGTTGCCTGATGTCCATCCTGTAGATATACATCTAAACACGTTAAGTAAAACTGAGACATTTCAAATCAGAAAATTTGCCAGTAAAAGCTCATTACCTCATTTCACCTTTGCCTAAAATACCGAAAAGGAAAATCTCTGTATTGCAAATTATGGAAATACTGTGCTAATGAGCCAATTCATCAGTTTCTACAAAATGTGATTTATAGTAATTTTATATTCCCGACAATTTGCATAACAATGAATCTCAAAGAGAGTAACAAAAACATTTATTCACAGAAAGATACTTACTTCACCTATTTTAAAGATAAGTTGGGAGAAAAAAAGAAATTTTACTTAGAAAAGCTCAGAACGTAAAAAATACCTATTAAAATATTATATCTAGAATATATAAAACAACAATGTCATCATCACAGATTTTGGAAGCTTGTACCTGGTGAATGACACCAAGTATGACAGCAAGCTGCCTAGTAAAATGGAACACTGAAAATTTGCAACAACCTCGTGGAAATGAAAAAGTTCCCCAGCATGTGTAACTTGGAACTACACAAACATTCGGGCACAGGTATCTATGTATATACACGAGATAATTACATTAAGAAGCAGAGTTTAAGTTACAGCAAGTTTGCAGAAATGAGGGGGATGGATTTTTATTAGAGGCAGGCTCTCCGTAGCCTTATGTGCTGGTTTTGGCAGTTGAGCCACGACAGTTTATTTCCTCTCTCCCCCACATTTTATGTGAAATGCAAAGTTTGAGTGATTTTGCCTACAACAATTGACTTTCTGTTCTGTAAAACTGCAGTGCAGACAGTTCCAGAAAACTGTCATCTTCATAAACATTGCTTAAAACTGAAAATATTTTACAGCATCAAGAGACTGAAATCTTCATGTTCAGGTCAAAAGCCACTTCCAAATCTTTATCAGATTCTGCTAATTGTGTAGTGTGAAATAGTTACAGAAGCACTTTTTAAGTTCTTGTAAAGAAGGTGCCTAAAACACATACAGGAAACTACATTTTTTACAGTACTTGGCATCTGCTCACCAGCCTGACAAATCTAGGCGGGCTGACAGAACCAGAAGTAGTCAACACATTTTAGAGATCTAGAAATGGAGACAGACTAGACCATGTCAGAATGTGGGATGCTCTTACATGCTGCTGCTGATTAAGTTTAAACAAATCTTTCTTTACAGCACAAGTTACACAAACCACAGTGTTCATTTTGCTATTTTGCATCTGAAAAATGTATTAAAGTTTAGGCTTTTTATTCAAAAGGAAAACCATAAAATGCAGAAGTCTCCTAAGAGCAAGAATGGCTGCTGATGCACTTTCAAAGGTATCCACTGAACCTACTAGTTCTGTTGGGATGAAAAGACATACTGGATGTCGCTTAGAGTTAAGTGACTAGATTCCCTACATGAGAGGAAAGAAATACTTCAGATGACCAATTCAAAAACCTGCACTGTTGGGAGTCACTTAGGGGTAGGCAACAGAAAATGGCAAACAGAAGGATACATGAAAACTGAGTTCACTGCCCCATTCAGGCTGCAGGTCCAGAATCCTTTCCTAATGACTGGCAACTAGTACCTGGAAGTGACCAGCACTTGCCTTTCCCTTCTTAAAATGCAGAGGGAGAACCAGTCCTACTTATCCTAAAGGTCAGAGTACACTAACTGAATCAGACCATTCAGGACATACACACACAGAGCCTTTTCTGAATCTTTCTGGATTAAGAGGCAGGACCTACTTCTCCTACTTAAACCTATTTGTTCAGAGACATCAATTCTGGGCTCATGCGCAAGAACAATTACAGTAGCTATGAAACTTTAAGTTGGAGATGCATAGCAATGTCAGGTGCCTCTTTGGTTGTTGGGTGCTTTGATAGTTTGCCTTAAAAAAAAAAAAAGAAACAAGCCTTATTTGAATTTTGGACCTCAATCACTGTTGTGACCAGTATGTTCTACTTTTGAAGGATACGTGCTCTCATTATCTGAAATTTGGAAGCCAAAATTATTATCCTTGAATTTTCGTAACTCAAAATACCCCTCTGGCTTTTAAGGTCACAGTCAAAGATAAAGTGTCATTGGCTAAATGTGTCTAGGTGTTTAAATTCAAAGCACGAACAAAATGGATCCACACTAATAGCTACACATCCACAGTGGCTAATAGTTGCCACTGAACACTTGTCAGTTACTGAATCAACCTGGTACATCCTTCATACAGTTTTGGTGTTTGGTTTCACAACAAAACTTGAATAAGAAGTATTACTTCATTATAGCAACTGTCATTTTGACAAGCTGCTAGATCTCAAGTTGGAAGAACACTACAAATTAAGGCACCAATTATTTCCTTTACAACTACAATTTAAATGCTATTAAACTTCTAACACTCCACGCATGTTAAAAAGCTTTTTAACAACGCAGCTATTCTTTGAGAATAACTTGCTGCTAGCAGAAATACAGTTCTTACTGCTCTGTACCAATGCCAGACTAAAATAACAGTACAGAAGAAGTAATGTACTGAAGTCCAGCCCCATGCATATATGCACTAAAACAGTTTTAGCAAAGATCCATATTCTTTCTATCGACATCTGTCTGCTCATATTAATCTGAAGGGAAATCATTACAAAAGCTAGCTATTAATACAGTTATAGCAAACATTCAGCAACAACCACCATGTGCAGCCATTAAGTGCCTGCATTGCTCTTCTACCTAAAATCACCTCGATTACATTCAACTAGAGTGTAATGGCTAACATTAACCAAATGTTAAACAAAACATGCACATAAACGACTATTTCTACAAGTTAGAGATGGTTTACAATAGTGCTGTTTGACTCACTGTTCTACATGACAGATTGAAATGGCATTACAAACTAATACTGCAACGAAGCAAAACTGAGTATGCATAAAATAAGAAGCCAAACAAGAAAACATAGACAATACTTTAGAATATCTCTAAAGGAAAAAAAAAAGGACATTAAGAGAAACAATGTTTTATTTTAAAATATGTAGTATGATGTGAGCATAACTCTACCAGCATTATCACTTTTTTTGGTTGGCCAAAATTGAAGTCCCAGTTTATCTGGTAAATACTAACAAAATAAAAAAAAACAGTATGAACTGGCCATTATCTGCTGATATCATAAGCTACCTGATAAAACTGTGGTAAGGTCTATTATTTAATATTCCCATATTCAGTTCACTAATATGATCCTGACTGTTACCAACTACGATTAGTCACCATCTAATGATCTTTGTATCAAATTATGGAAGGTAAAAAGCAAAACCAGACAATTTTGCCTGCTGCTTTATCCAATTAAGGGGAAATTCTAAAAAATAAGAACTATGCATTTTTATTTTCCTTGGCTGATGACAAGTAAATTCTGCAGATACCAGGAAGAAAGTTGAAATATGACTTCAAACAAGTTCAGTTTTCATCTATCTAATGGCTGTGGTAATGTTATTCTAACTCAATGGCATTACTAATTAAAGGCAATATTTGTCCTTCCTACAAGGTACTTACAAGATCCAATAGTATTTTCAGTATGTATATAAACAGCAAACTTTACTACCATAACCAATACATTAATGTAAAGGGCTCAGAAGTTCTGGTCTTCCAATTCTGTGCAACAGCTGTCTGGACAGTCAGTTGGAAACTATCTCTGAACAGCCATTATTATCCTCGGGTAATACACTGTAAATATTCATTCTGTGATACCGTGTACATAAGATGTAATATACACCATACACAAAACAAATACTCGTTCTAATAAATTTACTATGATACAGCCTAGCTGCTTCTTAAGAAGTTAGATGCTTCTACTAAAGACTTGCCCTGTTCCTCAGAGGTTTGTTTTGGCAGAAGTTTTATTCTATTAACATCTGAGTTTTATATTCTCATGCCTAAAAAAAAACCTGTTCAGCACCTCAAAGACAACTCCTCTCCTCTTTTTCATATAGGTTTAATGAAGGGGAAAGGATAAGCAGAGCAAAGAGTAAAAAAAATGAACGCAGTTATAAGATGGTACAGTGTTGAAAATAATTAAAACATTACTGAAAATAAGGAGAACATAAAGCCACCCAGAAAGAGCAGAGGAAGAAAATTAAAACACCCCTCCCAATAAAAAAAAAAAAAACTTCAGAGGAAAATCTTGTACTATTTCTACCTAAGCTGTTTTTCTTTGTAAGATGAAAAATTTCATCTTAAAACTCATTTATCAACCACAAGTATCAAAACTTATGAGAGAAAACAGACTCGACAGTTGACGAGATCATCTGTCCTGCGAAGGACTACCACCTCTTTTACAGAAGTTTGTTTCTACTTTAAACTCCTCTTCCCCCTTCGGTGACTTTTATCATCATCTCAAAACCCAGAAAAACATTTATGCCTAATAATTTACCCAAAGAACTTGCTGAATGAAGATGCCGGATCATAAAAATCTCTAACGTGTTAGCCAAATTACTGACTTGAAAACTGCTCACATATTTTCTCACATAGGAGAAAAGCAGGGAAGGAGAGCAGCAAACTGGAATACTACTATAGAGACAACCATTTACTCATACACATCCAGCAAAAGAATAAGCTACACCTAGAAAGTAAAAAATATTTTTCAGTATTATATCACTTTACAACTAAAAAACTACCCTCAAAGGGATATCTGCAATCTCAAATCAAGTCAGGTATTTAAAAATAAAGTTATTTATTAAGAATGCTACTCTTAATTAGCTTTGTTTATGCTTTCATTTTTCACTTCACTTTGTCTAAACCAATTCCTCAGGATTACATTTTTCTTTGATTCAGAGTTTATCCTAATTCTTACGAAGAACAAATTAATTTATTTGCATTCAGAATACTGTCATACCTCAATCAAATTTTGATACTTAAAATCAATCCAGAAATTAGTGAAATTCTGTAAGGAAGCCTGACCACTACAACCAAAGTATACTAATATGAGAATAAAGTACTTCGGATTATTGTAATAAAAAGAATGATATGCATACCTAAAATTATCATCTACTGAATCTCTATTTTCTGAGGTAACAGGATACTCAGGCTTAAGATCCTGCTTTTCATCTTTAATGCAGATGCTAGTATAGGATGCCTTCACAGGACAGTTTTCACAGTCTGCAAGTGCAAGCTCCTCTTCATTATTGGTTCCAAAAAGGTCAGGGTCATCCTGAATCACATCAATGACAAGAACATCTTCTTTGTAAGCTTCAAGAATATCTGGAAAATTTTGACTTCTGTGTTGTAAAAGATTCTCTCTTGTTTTGCTATCATCATTTATTTCTAATGCAACAGGGTGGTCAACTGCATTCCAAGAATGATCAGGAAAATTAGATTTTAGTACACGTTCAGTACCATGGAAATCAGGCACAGATGTCTCTAGTTGTCCATCGAGAAAAGGATGCGGATGTAAAGAAAAATGTTCAGGGAGCACAGACATCTCATTTGAAACGCCTTCAGAGCCATCATGCTGAGAGTCCTTACTGTTGATCTCATCCACTTTTTTCTTCATGGAAGCTGTAGACATAGCATCACTCATGACAGGAAGAGGCTGCTGCTTGGAATTTACCAAAAAAGTTTCTTCACCCATTTTCTGCCTTCTAGAAACACTAGTGCTGTCAAGAAGTTCTAGTGGACTACAGGTTTTTCTTTCAAATGAACGGACAGATTCCAATTTCCTGGATTCAGGTTTGTTTCTGCATAAAGGAATTTTGAATTTTGTCAGGTTTCCAGTGTTTAATACTTTCATCAGCTTTAAATCAGAAAAGGTCTGGTTCACTACTGATGCTTTACATCTGAAGTTTATTCTGTTTGTGTTACCTGTAGATGTACCATTCTGGACTGTCACAGATGAGTATCTTTTTGTTACAGCTCCTTTATTTTTATATTTTTGTTTTGTTGTAGAATTCGAAGTTGCTTTAAATTCTTGCACATCACCATGGTTAAAAGCCATGGCATTTCTGTCCATATTAACTGGTGGTTCCACACTTTCAGTGCTCATTCTGAAAGTCTCATAAATATCCGCAGAAGAGGATTCTGGCATTTCAAGTGAAGTCAGATCTTCAGTATTTAGATCCATTGTTTCATGTGTAGGTTCTTTGTTAATTTCTGCCGATGACATATCCAAATCCAGCCGTCTCAAATTCCCAGTCACAGCACTGTTCCCTACAGCTTTAACACCGCTTTTATCAGAAAATTCCTCAAAGGCACCCCTTAAAAGTTTTTTTCCTTCTGAGATGGATCCATGATTTTTATGAACCCATTCAGAAGTCCTGGCACAAGATTCAAAAGGCCAAACATTTTTACCAGTCATAGGTACTGTTCTTTGACAGGTAAGCTGCTGCAACTTTTTACTAACTTTGTTCAATTTTTCATCTGTCTGGCTTTCATGACAATTAGAAACATCATGGACCTGAGCTAGTACTCTCAGGCTACCTGAGGCAGCATAATGATGTGCCACACTGTTTGAATTTTCTCCTTTTGCTATTACAGAGAGCTCAGTTGTCTTCTTAAAGCCATCTTCAAATGCAAGTAATTTGGTACTATTCTTTCTCCAGACTGACGTATTTTGTGCTTCATGAGTATTTTTTCCTGTATGAAGATTTGATGTATGATCACATGAAGCTGACAGAGTAATTTCTTTATGATTTAGTCCTAAGACTGCAAAGGAGCTTGACATGGCCACTGCTGCTTCTGTGTTTAATTCACACCCACTGCATTCATTAGCTGTATCTGTGAAAATATTCTGCACTGCTGATTTCTCAGTGATTTTCATATTTTTTCTAGGCTTTCTACCAATATTCCACTTCTTCCCCCTTAAACGCTTACTGTTTTCACTCCAACAGCATGAAAAACACCCTTCTCCATTTTGAGTTTTTTCTTTATTAAACAATAAACCACCTTTTATGGGTGATCTCTCATTTTGAATTCTACTAGTGCTGCAACTCATATCACTCTGTTCTACAGTACCATCAGGAAAAACATGTTTTCTTTTATCCTGGGCTACATGGAAGAATCCACTTAATTTATAACTGGTGGTAGTTCCACTAGCTGAAGACTTTACAAAAGTATTGATGTAACTACAGGCCTCTAATCTCACAAATGGATTCTTTTCTGTTACACAGAGCAAGCCTTTACAATGGTTTAGGGTGTTTCTGCAATGTTCAGCATCACGTTTTGCAGATACATATCTCACTTTTTCAGCTGTAGTTACAGTAAAACTTTGCAAGCACCTGATTTGATCAATTCTGGGTTTCCTTTTTTTATACTGCACACCAGACTTTTTTGTTACAGGATGGCATGGAAAGCTCTTGCTTTGAGTCCCACCTGAAGCAGCAACCATAGGAGATTTAGAGCAGTGAGGTTCTTTTTCCTTGGAATCTTCTGATCTGTTTCGAATTGTCTTAAGCTTCTTCTGTGTACCACAGTCTTGCTCAATTGCTTTCCATTTTTCCTTTGCTGATTTAAAAAACAAAGAAGTGTCACTAAATAATACACTACAGGAAGAAGACTACACTATTGCAATATTTTGTAAAGAGAACAAAAAATATTCAAGGCTACTAAAGAACATGACACGGCAGAAAGCTAAAATGTTTCTGTGAAGTTTTACCAATTTTGTTTTTTAAATGAGCACTATTAGCAGACTTACAGTAATAAATGATGTTTTGTCTTCAGAAACAAATATGAACAGAACCTTAATGTGTCATAAGGACACTGGAAGTTGCATACTTAAAACATAGGTGGAAACCAAATTAGAGGAAGGCTGGCAAGAAAATGCAGATGCTGTTCACACACTCAGCCTTAAAATATTTTGTTTACACAGTAGATTTTCTGTATAGGGAAAGCTTTTTCATAAGAATATAGTAATTTATTTCAGGTATGTAGTCCAAACAAATGCATTAGACTGTTCAAGAAGATCCAGGAAAAATGGAGGACATGCATTTTTATAAAGTACTACTTTTTATTTAAGAGCAAATACAGATTACGTAAAGAACTGTACACCTGAACATTTCGTCTGGAAAAGGTACTATTAGAATGCTGGTTTTTTTAGATCTTAGTTTTCAAAGTAAGATACAATTTTAATACCTCAGTTTTTCAGAACATGGTTTCTAGATAGAATATTTATTAATAATAACCTACTGCAAATACTTGTCATTTGAATGTACCCACTTTGAAAGTAAAAAGAATGTCTTTTAGACAACTGTCCTGAAAAAAAAATATTTAAAAATCCTCTTTCAAAATTGTTCCAGTTTGATATAATGCTCTCTTAAAACATCAAAATATAATCTTTGTTTCCATATCTTTTATGATTTTGCAGAGAATAGCAATGAAAAAGCAAAAAGTTCTGCAAACAAAACCCAGCATCCTATAAAGGCAACCACTAAACCAGGACAGCATATTCAAAAATAATCAAATAATAGACACACAAATGAAGAATATACTATCTTTCATTTTGGCTTTGCTGAAACTACTGCCTCCTTTCCTGTTTGTGCCTGACCTTTATGCATAAATGAACAGACTGTTTTTGAGGGGAAAAAACCCCACCGCTTCTTACACAGAGTCTGTTGCTGCCGATACCCCTTCCTCCCTCCAGCCCCCAAAAGGTCCTCTCCTTTGTGCCAAAGAACTGCTTTTCTCCTTCAAGAAAATGTTTTCAACTTCCTAAAAATCTGTTTTCTTCTAAGACTGGTATTCACAGTACTGTAAAAGCAGACCCTAGCTCTCATCTCCACACTTCTTGAGATAAATTAGCAGCTACACACTAAGAGTCACTTTAAGATAGGGTACAGTCCACTCTTTC